CCTCCAGCTCCACACTGCATTGACTAGGCCTCTTTCTACGCTCCAGGCCTCTATGACTCACCAATTCTGTGCCACAAATGCTTGGGATAACTCTTCCCTTTGGAATACATTGGATAAAGTTCGGTTTGCGCCATTGGGACACCAGCTTTAGCAGCGTAACCTGCAGGTAGTGTGTTCCAGAGGATTGAACAATGGCTTTGTAATTCCGAAGAACCCCGTGTTAGAATGATTGTACCTGTTTGGAGTCATTGGGACATTCCTTCAATAAGGTTTCACTCATATTCTCTTTAACAAGCCTACCAGAAGGGAGACAAGAAATGCCAAAGTGTTCATCGGGGAGTTGAGCCGCTTGATGAACATAAGCTGGACTTGTGAGGTTACTAACTCGATTGGGACAGGAATCGGCCAATTGGAAAACCTTTTACATTGTGACGATGCAGGTACGTGCCAATGTGTTGCAATGGCTGGCACATTCCCCGCGGCTTGCTTAGCAGAGGTGTCGGTGTTTCACGCAAGTTTGTACAGCGAAATGTTTCGTGTGGCTGATGAGTTAACCTTGTGATGTCTGGAGATGATGGCGGGCCTCCTTTGTGCATGAAAACAAAGCAGAGCGCTGCAGACCCCATCGAATGAGACAGAGTCATTAATAACAGAAAAAGGCACCGCGTAGGGGAGGATCATGCTGATTTGTATCCCAATGCCTTGCTCACCCTCCATTCTCTTGGTGTTTTAAAAGGTCATTCCCATAGCAAGTTCAACATTCCATGTGCGGCAGTGGGAGCGCTGATCATACCTCTTGTTGCATTGCTTGTGGCATTGCTCGTTATTCTACTCATCAAGAAACAACGCAATTCAGCAGGTAAATAATTTGACACTGAAAAGTAGAAGTCTTTTCTTGGACAGCTACAGGTATTTCAACACATTACAGGTGTTAGATAATGCAGCTGACACCAAAGTCGGTGGAGTTGTGGACAGTGCAGAAGGATGTTGTAGGTTACAGAGGGACATAGATAAGCTGCA